TGTCCCTAATGTGAGTCACAGTACTCTAGAGGAATTAATAAAAGTCACTTCCAATTACACATTAAGGTGAATGAAATTAGAAGTACAATTAGTAAAATAAATAATCCCAGAAGTCTTATGATACCATATGTATTCTATGTGTTCACATTTACACACACACACACACTCACACAAATGGTTATCAATATTTTAGGCTAAAATTAAAATTGGTATCATCTTAAGCATAAGCTATTTGGGCACTAAGACAAGAAGGCCTAGAATGAGCAGAAATTGAAAGTCAGCCAAGAACTGAGAATTCTATGAGTAGATGAGCAAGGCCATGAGTCATTTTTGTGCAGAAAACTGAGCCTGATTATATCAAGGAAACAGATGGTGAAAGCACAGCCTGTTAGGACAAGTGGGGGCAGCATCAACCACACCGATCCAGGTAAACCCCCACTTAACAGGGTTTCTATATCCGAGATGGTGTGATGACCTACCAAGCCAAGACAAAAAGAAAGAAAAGCAAACCTTCACTTCATTTTTGGAGACAATAGTAAATACCTCATTTAGGGAAGCAAGTCCAGGCAGCAGGAAGTAAGTCAGAGGAGCATTTCCTTTATCAGCTTTTTTAGACAAGTTGTTTGGTCCAGCCTCAGCATCTTTATCTGTGAAATGGCGATGATCACACCTCATAGGGTGTTTGAATAAGGTAGAAAGGATTCCGTGTCATATTAGAGCACCAAACTCAGAATAGTTGTCCACTTCCCTGAACTGAGAATTTCACATTTCCATTGCCAGCTCTGACGTATTCTCATTATATTCCATAAGTGCTGGTTTTTAACTTCATAAAGTGAGAATGGTGTGCTGTATCCAGGGTTGGTAGGAAGACAGCAAGGTGGCATAATGTGCATGAGGGCAGTTGGTGAAATTGGTGAGACACAGAGAACTATTCATCTAAGGGCCAGCAAGCCACAGCCACAAGGCCACATCCAGCCTGCCACCCGCTTTTTATTTCTTATCTCTTTTTATAGCCCACAAGGTAAGAATGGTTTTCACATTTTAAAACAATTGAAAAAAAATTGAAAGAAGATAACTCTTTCATAACATGTGAGAATTACATGAAATTCAAATTTCAGGGTCCACAAATAAAGTTTTATTAGAACAGTTGTTTACATGTTGTCCATAGTCGCGTTTGCACTACAGTGCTAGAGTTAAAACTGTGACTGTCTTGTTTTCCACAGAAAATGTTTACCAACAAAAGATATAGAGATATGAGGGACTCTTTTGAGATTTTTTAAATTGTTTGTTGTTGTTGTTGTTGTTGTTATTGGGAAAGTGCCTGTCCTATAACAAAGGCTTAATAACCAGATGTTGTTTTTGATGTTCCTTTATTCAGTTTTTAATTCAACAAATAATTATTGAGTGCATCCTCTGTGCCAGACAGTGCTCCAAGGGCTGCAGAATCTAGCAGTGGTTTTATCTAACAGATAAAAATGCCTGTACTCATTGGACAGACAATAAACAGATCAGTAAAAATAACTGTAGTATATTAAGAGACTGTGGAGAAAGATAAAGGCATGGAGAATAGAGAGTTTCACGGTAAGAGTTACAATTTTTAGATATGGTGGTCCGGGAAGACCCAATCAGGAAGGTGAAATTTGAGGGAAAACCGTACTGATAGAAGGGAGCCCTGGGGATACTGCGGGGGACATGGGGTAAGGAGGAATGTTCTGAGCACGGGAACAAATAGAGAGCGTTTAATGTGTTCAAGGAATACAAGGAGTCAGTGAGGCCAGAGCGGAGTGAGAAAGGAGAGAATGGCAGAAGAAAAGTCACATAAGTGCCCAGCGAGCTTCAGGAGGGCCTTGAGAGACCGTCCAGGGGCTCTGGCTCTTCCTCTGCCAGAGACAGGGAGCAGAACCTGTGAGTGAAGTCGTGGCATGACCGGACTTCCACTCTACATGGATCCGTCTGGCTGCTCCCAGGAGGACGGGCTGTAGAGCAGGCTGTAGCAAGGGTAAAAGCAAAGAGACAGAAAGCAGTTGCAGTGGTTCTGGTGAAAGGGGTTGATGGCTGGACCCCAGATGGTAGTGGTGGCAATGGTGAGAGGTAGATTTTGGGGTCTATTTGGAAAATAGAGTCAATAGGATCTAAAGATGGAGTGGATATGGATTGTGAGAAAGAGTCAAAGATGACTCCACATTTTCCACCCCAAGCAACTCCTGGACTAATGTGGTAATCATTGAATTGAGTACTGAAAGATATGGAAAACATACATTTGCTCTTGGATGACAGGGAGTATGGGGGGTGCAGGAATTAGGATACAGGGATGATGATGGCATCATGGAGAGGTTAGGTTAGAGGTGCATTCTCTGAAGGGAGATGTACAGTGGGCTGTTGGGTACAGAACTCTGGAGATTAAGAGGTCATGGCTGGAGATACAAATTTAGGAGTCATCTACAGATAGATTGGATGTGGTTATGTTGTTATATCTCTTCAGTACTATAAGGTGATTCCATATAACATTGCAAATGATATCTGAGGAGGAGACACCTAGAATCAGAGATATTAGCTGCTAATGAAAATTACATTCTTCCAGAAGCAAGCAGAATGCCAAGAACAGGTATAAAATATATAACTAGTATTCCCAATTTGAATTGTTCCTAATTTGCCTAATTGAGTAAATAGTTTTACAATGAATCAAATTATAAGTTGATTTGCAAAATCAATTACAGGGTTACAGTATTACATTTTTGAGATATTGCATATTATCTTGATGGAAATTAATAAGCCACTTGATAGGTGCACAATGCTCCTTATGCTGGTTAAGACAAGATTAGGAAGATAAAACTGCCTTTAGTTTATGAACAAACAGAATATGATGCATCATAATTCCATAGAGTAGTTCTAACAATTTAATTTCTGCTGACTTTCACAAATGCATCAGCCTTTAAAGAAGAAAAAAGAAAGCTTGACTAGCTTTGCTTCCTCTTCTGGTAAAAATCTTATAGTTTGGACAGTTATTCAAGCTGACCTGGATGGACATAATGACTGTCTCATGCCACTAAGACAGTGTTTCTCAGCCTTTCTTTCATTATTGACTCCTTCCAACAGAGAACTTTTTAAAGTATTTTTTCCTAATCTCCACCCCATCAGAATGTTTTATTGTGGTAAAATATACACAACATACTACTAATCATTTTAGCCATGTGTGAGTGTACAATTCAGTGTCATTAAATACATTCACAATGTTGTGTCACCATCACTGCTATCTATACCCAAAACATTTTCTTTATTCCCAATATAAACTCTGTGTCCATTATACAACATCTCCCTATTCCCCATTCTCCCTGACCCCAGTAATTTCTATTATACTTTCTGTCTCTGTGAATTTGCCTATTCTATTTTCTCATGTAAGCAGAACCATACACTGTCCTTTGGTATCTGGCTTATTTCACTTAGCATAATATTTTCAAGGTCTATCCACATTGTAGCATATATCAAAATTTCATTCCTCTTTATGACTGAATAATACACCATTGTATTTCTATACCAATTTTGTATACCTAATCATCCATCAGTGGACACTTAGGTTGTTTCTACCTTTTGACTATTCTGAATAATGCTGCTATGAACATTGGTATACATATATCTGTCTATGCTTTCAATCCTTCTGGATATATATGTAAAACTGGGCCCATGAAATTTTAATATCACAGATAAACTATGTATCTGTTTATGTTTCATGTATATATGTATCTGTGCTTTATACATAAAAATATTTCTTCACTAACTCCCAAAATCTATATTCATATATATTATATATATATATATATATGTGTGTATATAATATATATATATATATATATGTTCAGTAAGTGCATAAGTAAACTGCTTAATGAGGAAGGAAGCCGTGGATTATAAAGAAAATGACCCCAAAACACATATGTATAAAACATAATCTTTATTCCCCATGTAGTAAAGTTATTTCCATTTTATTTAGTCTTCAAAATTGATGGCAGTTGATAAAGTAATGAACTGAAGGATCTTGAAAAATAGCTCTTGGCAGTTGTATCAGGACCAAACCAATGGAGTAAATATTCTAATTAAACTTTTGAAAAGAGTGGAGCCTAATAATGCTGTATTCCCACTGAGCCTCAAATATCTCCAGAACGCAAAGAGAATAATTATGCAAGCATTATACAAAAGAAAAAAAATTCAGAATCCAATGATCAGGCTGTGGGAAGCCAGGTCGCAGCGAGGGCACAGGATGGTTCTGTCAGCACATGTAGGACAGACTGTGATCTAGTCGGGAGGCAGTATTGCAAGATTCCTGGCACAGACTCACCTAGGTTGTATTATATATTATGTATATTTACAATATGTATAACTTTATTTATAGTAAATACATGCATATTCATTTCTATATTTACATATTGTTTTAATATAATGCTATATTGTTTCATTATGTAAAGAAGAGATTAAGAAGATTGTATAACAGTTTTGGAAAAATGACAGTTTCAGATACCTGACTGGAACCCTCAAGGGTCAGGAAAGACGAGAAACTGTGTAACCGCCAGACTGGAGGAGACTAAGGAGACATGGCCGCTAAACCCAATGTGGGATCCTGGACCAGATAAAGGACATAGATGGGGAAATGAGGATTCTGAATAGCCTGTCGTTCAGTTAGTAGTATTGTACAATGTTAATTGCTTCCTTTTTGTAATTGTACATGGTTACACGAGATGTTAACATGAAGGGGTGCCGAGCCCAGGGCATACTGGAACTCTCTGTGCCATAGTTGCAACTCTACTGTGAGTCTAAAATTATTTCAGAATAAAAAGTAAAAGACCACAAACAGCAGCGTTTCTCTGGCGGCTCCCGAGTGTCAGAAGCAAACGTGTGATTAGCACCGTTGAGAAACGGTTAGTAGATGGGGGTCTACATTTGCAGCAGAAGCTTTGAAATACACCGTGAGAGTAACTCGGGTCTCTGTCTCCTCCCCGATTGCCCTGCAGGGTGTGCTGGGTGCACCATGTAACCGGGATGTGGGTGTACCCTTTCCTGGAACACATTGGCCCAGGAGCCAGAGTCGTCTTCTTTGGGTCCACAACCATCTTAATGAACTTTTTGTACCTGCTAGGAGAAGTTCTGAACAGCTATGTCTGGGATACACAGAGAGGTAAGTATTGTTTAGGAGAGCATAAAACAAGAGAATTGATGTCTAAGGGAGTGTGTGCAGAGGCTGAAGGAAAATTCCACTGCGGCACAGGGTCACTTATGAGGAGTTTCATTTTTATAACTACAATATTAATTTAAGAGCTGCTGGCAGTTACCTGAAAGGTTTACTACTCACTCTGTCTTATTAGCTAGTAAAACATCCAAATCTAAGAGAAAAGAAGCATGTCTATAAAATTTTATAGGGAGAAATACAGTGTTGCAGAAAAAAAAATTAGGAAGCTCACTGTGATTAACGAAATACTGCCTGAGCTAAAGGGCATCTCTTCTGATATAATCACAACATTCTAGACATCACCCAATTAAACAGATAAATTATTAAATGTAACCAATCTGTCTCATAAGAAGTCACCCATATCTCCACATCGTACATCATCCTTTGTGTGGATGCAGCCGACTCAGAGAGGCCTCGCCCCCATCCTGCCAGACCTCTAAGCAGCACAGAGTGCCTCTGGCCACTGCGATTCACCAGCGGCTTTCATATACAAGGGTTGAAGGTGGCAAAAAATATATATATATGGGCATAAATGGTAATATTTCATTGCTGCAAAAGCTCACTTAACCTATGATTTGATTTCTCTTTTGTTTCTATTTACGGCAGGGCCTCCATCATGGCAAGGCACGTAATCTTACCCAAGCTGTGCAAAACCCATCCAAAGTGTATGTAAGATAACATAAAAATGAGAAGGAAGAAAAAGCAACAGCACAGCTATGTAGTGATTTGAGTCCTGAATGAAAATACATCCAGAGACAAGATGGTTTGGGATTTTAGGGAGCTCTGGGCATCTCTATGATCACAGCCTTTCTAGACATCACCAGTAAACGATCTCTGTTCCACAAACATCGAGTGCACTACTTTGTGCCAGACACTGTGCCAAGAATTTGATCTAATTAGACAAATAAAACACAGTGACTGCCTGGTTATTGAACTGGAATTTTTGTGTGTGTGGATCTTCTAAGATTGTACGCTCCAAGGTGTTAGCCAGCATTAAATGGCCCAGAGGAATTTGAGAGTTTGTTTTCTCAGCAGCTGGCTTGATATTCATAAGTGGCCTATTAGTTAAAGTGCCAAAAATTTTTATTCAGTTCAGGCCATAGCTTGGCGGACTAGAAATTAATCTTTTAATAATTTTCCTTTCTTTTCAATGGGAATCATAATTTTTGTCTATTAATTAACTCTAAAAAGTATTTAGTTAACTTACAAAAATATTTGGAGAACCAAACATAACTCAGCTTGTTGGGAGAAAGGCCATATTTAAATTTTAAGTAATATGCCCAATATATGTTATTCCGGAAGTGTTTATGGCTGGCTGTTTCATCTCGATCAGCTTGATTCCAAGAGTCATTTGGCCATTATCCTACTACTAAGAGAAAATGGTCTGAAAGTCAGGAGAGAAAAAAATCCATTCTAGATTAATAGAAGACTGCTTTTTAGCATCTTTGAGTGAAAAGCTAAAGATGAACAGTAGCTAAAAATGAACTCAGATTTTTTTTTTAATGATCTATTCAATTTAATGGGTGTCATTCTCTTAAATAATAGGAATTAAGATTGACTAACATTTTGTAATTCACTTCAGGTATAGAGATCCACATTTTCTACATGGGACCATCTAGTTAACTCCACAGTGGTAGCTGTTTTGCACAAGTGAACATATTCATCTATGAGAGGGATTCCAAACTGATAGCCTCTGCCGTATTTTACCTGCCAAAAAAGTTTTGTTAGGCCTAAATAGTGAGATTTTTGGTTTGAACCAACAGTTAAAAAATGGGACACTTCACACACAGGCCAGATTTTTCAGCTGACTAAATCGTTTAAGATCTAGCATCAAGCCTCCTGTTCTCTTCTGACAACAATGGATTGGAACTGAGGATTGCTTGCCCCCTTTTGATGGTTCACTTTCTTTGTCCCTCGTTGCCACCTGGCCACTTTGCTCTATCATGTTAGGTGCCTAGTTCTGTACTTGAATTTGAAACTGCTGATTAAAAGCAATGCATGCTATGTATATGAGTGCATGTGTGCATGTGTGTGTTAGAATGAAATGAATATAGTCAAGCATAGTATTATAGTCCTAAGTACATTTACTGCACCCCAGATACAATTGTTCAGAAGCAGGAGTACCACATTTGAGCTCCCTTCCTTGTATCCATATGATTTTTAATGGCTCAGTTTCCCACACTTGGTCATACTGTGTTGGCTTCAACCTCAAGATAAAATGACATTCTTCCAGAATCTTACAACCAAAAAGGAAATTAGAAATCATCTAAGCCCAGCCTTTCCTTTTACTAAGAGGCAGCTGAGGCCCAGAAATCTTAAGTGACCCAGCAAAATAGGTGATTGCAGAGCCAACACACACCTTTGGGCTCATGTTCAATCCACTGTGACTTCTAGGAAAATATTAAAATGTCACCCTTGGAAAACAAGACACATGAGAACTTAGAAGCTTCATGCAGAACCATGGACCTAGCTTACAACATAATAAAATAGACCAACCTGATATGGGCTGTGAACAAAAAGACCATAAGATTGGCTAAATTAATATTTAAACA